TTGCTGTAGACAAGTTCAGATATATTTACAAAATAATAATATCATGTAATTGTGTTTCTGCATCTCTCAGCCTCTCTCCTGCCCAGTCCTCTATTACTTTAGTGATTAAGTATTTATTGAGCAGCTACTATATGCCAGGCACAGTCTCAGGCATTAGGGGTTAGAGGTTGAAGGAAAGACACCAATATCGCTCAAACAAGAAAGACACATAAGAGAAACTTGTGGCCTAGTGGGGTGGGCGCTGGGAGTTAAAATGAGAGGTCAACATAGAAACTGTCCAGTGTGATCCGCTCCGTAATGGGCAAGTGTGGACCTGTGTTTGGGAGGATCCCCTTCCATGTGGGAGTTTTCTCTCCTCTGCCCACTCCTCAGAGCCCAGAGGTCCTCTGCTGGACTTGGCCTCCGGAAGCCCCAGTTCACCTCTGCTCCTGGGTCCCCAGCTCCGGAGTCCTCTGCTCTGCTCCAGCTCCGCACCTGGGCTCTGGCTCTGGCTCCCTGGAGTCGGTTGAGGGCCGCGCCCCATTGCCCACTTCTGCTGCATCTGGAAACCCCACCTGGAACAGTGATGCCCGTGGTCCCCTTAGAGGCACTGGCCCACCTGGCCTGCCTCAGGACAGGGAGGTCGGCCCTGTGCCTAGCTAGGGGAGGTGCTGGAGAGAGGTGGTGGGGGGGGGAGGGGGTGCGCAGGGCCCAGTCCAGCAGGAGGCTGTCAGTCAGTGCAAACTGGAGTCGGGAGGGTCCCTGAGTCCAGATGGCCAGGCCAAGGACAGCTTCACAGAACACCCTGGAGACTTGACAGCCTCACAGGTCGAGAGGCTTCCCTCTGTTTCCATGACTCAGGGCGCAGGCTCTGGACCTGGGGTGTGGGTGCTTAGAACTGGGTGACTTCAAGTCCTTGCTCAGAGACAAAGCCAAGCCCACCTGAGTCAGCAAACTTGGAATGATTTGGGTCAATCGATGGAGAATAATTGCTGTGACCCAGATGACCTGGCTCGGTGGATTGGTGATAATTACTATAATCCAAGATTCTGGTGGGAAGCACATTCCGGGCACCCAGCACCTGGCAGAGCTGTGTCAAGCACCATCAGGGACTTAACACAGTAGGCCCCCCCAAACACAAGGGAGGGCCAGGGATGTACCCAAGGTCATGAAACTGATTAGGTGGCCCGACTGGGAACAGGACGATGCTTGTTGAAAAAAATGAACAGGTGGGTAAAGGGGACCTGAATGTCTGTCCAAGTCTCCTTCCAACCCTCCCCCACCAGGCTGTCCCCTGGCCCCAGGGGAAGTCATGATTTATAACAGGCTGAGGGAGGAGGGCAAGACTTAAACCCGAAATATTGGCCTTTATTTTAATTTCTTTTAAGATTTATTTGTTTATACACACAAGAACTGGGGTGCAGGCTGGAGATACAGGGGACGAGAAGACTCCACAAAGACAGAGCAGGGAGCAGAAGAGGCAGATTGACTGAAGTACCCTGCTGAGGGGAGCAGGGGGGAGAGCAGAGAGGTCTGCGTGCCCTGAGGGCCAGCTCCCTGGGCCTGGATGAACTCAGGCAGTGGCTGGTCCTAGCTTCACCGGGCTGAGACTTAACCCCTGCGCCACCAGGGAGGCCCCTTCTTCCCGTTGGCATTGTGTCACTTACGATGGAAAGATCTTACTCAAAGCACCTAGGGCGGGAAGAAGCCTGGGCAAGCAGGCGGAGGTGCCACTGGGTGAGGAGCCAGACGGGAGATGCAGCCCCTACCTGGCTGACTCCGGATACAGTGGGGTCGGTGCCAGTCTCCTCGGTGGCAGTCCTCAGGTCAGGACTTGGCTGGGCCTCTGCTGTCTTGAACCTGCCCTCCACGGACATCTGGATGCTTCTGTTGTCCACTGTGCTAGGGCCAACGAGGGTACCTGATGCAGAACACCAGCCACCGCGCTCCCACAGGAGAATCCGATCAAAGCACCGGGGAGCCAGTTATGGGGTGGCCACTGCAGCAGCGCACGGGGCCTGTAACCGAGGAGCCTGGCTCAGGAGGAGGCCGGCAGGCCCAGCACGGGAGGGCAGGCAGCAAACCAGAGAGCAAGGCACCTGCACCTGCCTCCGTTTGCATTTTCTGAACTCTCTCGGTCCGAGGAGCGGCTACAGGAAGCCCAGTAACTTGCCTGTGCTCCCAGTCTAGTCACGGAGCAGAAACGGAGCCGCAGCCTGTTGGAGCCTCAAGCCCACCCTCTCACCCAGGGCAGCACTTCCTCGCAGGTGTTCTTTGCAAGGTGGGTCCCCTGAGGTGCGCCCCACACAACACACACCACGCTCTGGGAAGTGGTAGTCTCCTGGGGGACTTCTCAGTCTCTCAGAGGTCAGGCTGCAGCTGCATTAGGCAGAAACCCCAAAATTTTCCATGGGGCTAAGGAACAGGACTTGGAGATGTCCAGTGGGCCATGTATACGTCACCAAAGCACCCCAGCCCTGCTCAGGACTCATCCCTTTCTAAAGCTGTTCTCAGAGTCTCTCTGCTCCCCTAGTCCCGCCTCAGCCACACGCTCCCTTCCCCCCACCCCCATGAGCTGAGTTAACCTTACAAATTCCTGCAAGCTGAATCCATAGACCAGCAGGCTCTGGGCTCCCTCTCCCACGTATCTGTCTCTGACACCCCTTCCCACCCCTTACTCCTCTCCTCCAAGCTGCCGACCACCTCAGCCCTCCGACTTCTGAATTCTCTAAGGCTACCTCAGCCCCATTCTATACCTTACATTAACTAGTTTCTTGGGGTAAATCCCACCCCCCAGTGAGACCATGTGACCTTGAAGATCTTGATGGTGCGTCTCCCTTTCGAAATGATGGCGGGCCAGCCAACATTCGCGGAGGAAACTTCTACTTGCTGGGCACATTAGCAAACAGTATTACCACCCTCTAATGCCAGTGGGTTCAGCCGTTTTAAAGATAAGGAAACTGGGGTTCAGAGTAGCCCAGCGTCTAGTTCAAGAGCACAGGATTAGTCTGCAGACAAACTCAGGCTTGTCTGACTCGCAGGTGGGCTTATCTTGCCCCATAAAAAGCTGGGGCCATTCATTCAGTTACTCACGCAGTCAACATTTGTTGAACAGACCCGGCCCCATGCGTGGCACAGTGGTCAGGGCTTGGGGTCCGTGGGCTGTGCTGGTGGCCCTTACAGTTTACCACGGGCAGAGTGAAGGTGCCCTACTAGGTGCTGACCCCTCCTTTCTTCCCCCCTTGCTTACCCTCCATCTGTGTCCTTCCTGCAGTAAGACCACATCCTCACAAGCAAGCTCCCAGGTGGCCCACCACCCCCCCGGTGCAACTTCAGTTTCCCAAAGGACCTGGGCGCTCACTTGGCATGGAGAAGTCAGCGCTGTGGCCAAGTCCCTTTCTCTTGCCATGGATCTCCTCTCTTCTCCCTGCTCTCTCCCCTTAGGGGTCCCTACGCATCTCCCTTTCCCTTGAGCCTTCTTGTCCCCGTGTAGAACCCACCCTAGTCCCCTCCAACACGCCCCTCATTGTCCACTATCTCTACTTCAGAATTCTCAGGATCCAATATTCCACAAGTTGAAGTTTGGAGGGAACAGAGGCTCCAGGGAGGATTCAGCCCCTTCCCCCTTTTCCATCCCTGTCTAGAATTTGCAAACTCTATGAGAGTCTGACAAGGAGGGGTAGCTTGACCCTTCCTTGAGGAAGGTCATGGAATCTGAATTCAGAATTGGAAATGGGGCACAAATGTGCCTTTCAGAGCGCTTTGTATATTTTTGGTTAACAGCTTAATTGAGATAGGAGAGGAAAATAACCTAGAGGTCTAGCTATGGATGAATGAATAAACAAAATGGGGTCTAGCCACACAGTGGAATATTAGCCAGTCGTTAAAAAGGAACACCATTTTGCTCTCACGCTCCAACATGGATGAAAGTAAAAAGCATTATAGAAAGTGAAAAAAGTTAGGCCCAAAGGAAAGTAGTGTATGATTCCACTTATATGAGATAACTTGACTAGGCAAATTCATAGGAAGCAGTGTAGAGATTACCAGAAAGTGGGGGGACTGGGAAATGGGATATTAATGTTTATGGCGTAGAATTTTGGTTTGGGGTGATAAAATGTTCTGAAAATAGTGGTTGTAGTTATACAACCTTGCAAATGTGCTTACTTCATTGAGTTGGGCACTGAAAAACGGTTAGAATGGTAAATTTCAATATGTGTGTTTTGCCATAGTAAACAATATTATGAGGTGATGCTACTGGGAGCAGGCCTGGGTTCTGCTACCTGTCACCACCAAAAAGCCAATAAGGAGAGACAGTAATTGAATCCATAAGTGCTTTTATTTTCAGATCTCTGGTCACTCAGCTGAGAGGGCGGGCATAGCACCTTAACGAAATATATCTCCCAAGGCCATTGATCCGGGAGAACAGAAGTTAACTTCTACCATCTCATCTCGAGTTAAATTTTTATAAACAAAAAGTTAGTTATGGGCAAACAGCCCATCATGGTGTTGTTCTTGGTATTCATCACATTCATCCCCCAGAGCTTGTCATTAGCTTCTTGGTTATCTTGACCGTGATACATCTGATGGCACCAGTAGTATCCACCATTTGGGCGTCACTGGGGCAGGAATTTCTGTTTTAAATCAAGTTTAGCTTAACGAAAACAGATCAGGGGCCATGCTTCTTTGTGCCATGTGGGTCACCCCCCTGCCCTGGGATTGAACTCATGCTGCAGTGGCTGTCAATAGCTTCACAGCCTGAGACTCAACCCCTTGAGCCACCAGGGAGGCCCCTAAGCTTTGGTTGGTTGAAAACAACTCTGTTGAGCCTAGGCCACCCGGGGTCCTGGGCAGAGTGAGTGAGGCGATGGTGGCCCTGTAGGACAGCTGCCTTGGCTTGGTGGCTGAGGTCAGGTCTTCTCCAGGAAAGGCCCCAGACCAGTGACTGAGTCAGGAGAAGGGAGGACATTCAGGAAAGGAAGGAGACAAGGGCTGAGGAGAGAGAGGCTGCAGGGTGAGCTGTGCGCAGCTAAGTACAACTTTGAAGTTCAGCCTCCTGGCCCCCGGTATGAGGGGCCAAGGGGATGGCCTGCAAGCAGAGCAACATGAGGTAGGGTCTGTTTTGAGGTTTTCTCTGCGGCTCAGGGCGTCTTGCGGGCGAAAGAGCCCCCTAGCGGACCCTGGTCATCAAATCGGCCCCGGGCCCTTCAGCCGCCTGTCTTGAGCCAGAACTTCCAGCAGAGGGCGCGCGACAACGAGGCGCCCAGGCCCGCGAGCTGCCACTCTAGCTCGACTCTCGGGTCATAGAGTCGCGCCGTTTCCGGCCCCGCGGCGGCGGGGCGGGAGGGGAGAAGAAACCGGAAGTCCGGCGGGGTCCGGGCGTCGAGATGGAGGAGAGCGGCTACGAGTCGGTACTGTGTGTCAAACCCGAGGTCCACGTCTACCGCATCCCGCCGCGGGCCACCAACCGTGGCTACAGGTGACCGCCGGCCGCTGGGCCAGGATCCCCCCAACCTAGCCCCTTCCCCGCCGCCCCGACACACCCACCAGGGAGCTGAAGACCACCCGGGCGAGTTTAGGGGCGCGGGGGGAAGTTCATGCTTCGGCTTCTCCCAGTTCGAGGTCGGAGCCGGAGGCGCCCAGACTTTGGCCCCCTCAGCCGGGCTCACGGGACTCCCCGCGGCGGGAAAGGTGTTAAAGCCATGTCGGGTCCCCGGGGGGGGCCGCGAGGCTGCGGAGTGTCCTGACCGTGGCCGGGACCGGTGGTGTCATGGACCTTTGCTTTCAGCGCTGACTTGAAGCGATGCGTGGAAAACCCTGAGGGGAAGGGTCATTGGCGGGGTCCCCGAGGGGCAGGAAGGCCGTTCAGAACCGGCCCAGGATCCCCCCCCCCCCCCGGGGGATCTTTACGGTGACCGCCAAAGACCCCGCCTTGCTTGCCCTCTCGGTGGGCACGATCACGATTCAGCCATGATCGCGGCCTTTGCCAGTGGGGAGCCTCGCTCTGCACTTCAGGTGAACTGTTTACCTGAGATGAATGAGCACACACCTGCTTGTAAATGGATCGAGTGCCAGGAGGCAGCACAAGAGGCCGCCCTCAGGGAGGGGAGCAGTGGAAGACTTAGGGTGCCTCAGTGTACTGTTTGTGAATTGCCGTTGTAGCATCACCTCTCAGAAGAAAACAGAGTTTCCCGAGACACACCTCACTCAGACACCTGGCCTGTGGCTGTCTTGTGCCACTGGGTGGTGGAGGGAACGTCCACCACCCTCTTGAAGACGGTATTTGCCCCATTATTTGGAAATACAGGGTTGGCATGCACCCCAAGAATGATGGAGATTTCACACATGTCTTCTTGTCACTGTCCAGTTGTGTTTGCGTGAGCTCGTGGTGGATTGTCTTGCGAACAAATGTCTTATTGAACATCTGTGATATCTATGAGGTATTTTAAATTTGTGAGAGAGCTGCAGTACTAACGACGACAAAAACACAGTTGCTTTCTGTTGGTCAAACTGAAGCCAGGCCAGCCAGCCAGGGATGGCCGTCTGCACTTCAGTAGGGTGGGTTCGGCCCCCTTTGTGCCCCTAAAAGTGAAGTTACAGTTTCAGGGCTGGCTGGCTGGGCATTGAGGAAACTGCGGGCCCCTGCACTTTATTTTCTGAGCTCTGCTTAGCTTGAGCCTCAGGCCTGTCGACTCAGTAAGAGGAACTGAAATTGAGACTTCTGACTCAACCAGGAGTCTATATGTGTGCGGCCTTCAAAACAGCCCGCGTCCACAGTGCGGGTATCTCTCTTGGCAGCTGGCATCTGTTCAGGGACTTCAGGGACTTTCCAGGGAACCTTGGAAACACCCAAGGTTCTTGCTTTTGGGGGTTTTACTGAGCTGCGCCGACTTACATGTCAAGTTCTAGCTCTGAAAGAGCCCAGCGAGCCGTTGCTCCCTCTCCACAGTTTCCTGGGTTTCTCTCTCTCCAGGCTGCCTTTGCAAGTGCTTCTTAATCCCCCATTCACTTTTCTCACACACACTACGCTCCTTCTCTTTCTACTAATTGCTCCCTCTGCCCTTTTCCACCAGGACTGTCTCAGTGAGCCGAAACGGTCACTCTGACTACCGCCACCCGGCACTGTCTCACACACAGCAGGCCCGGCAGCTGCTTCCTCTGCGGCAGCCTGAAGCCCTGCTGCAGAGAAGTCTGTAGCCTACAGCTGGGGTCGCAGGCCGACCCACTGTGTCTTTGTAGTGCTCACAAGCTAAGAGTGGCTTCTGTGTTTTTAATGGGGAAACTCTTAAAGACTATTTCATGCTGTGAAAATTAGATGGAGTCCAGATTTCAATGTCCACAAAGTTTTACTGAAGTTTTACTGAAATACAGCCATGCTCGGTGGAAAATACCAGACATTCTAACGTAGGTACTGTCTCTGACGGCTTTCACCCTGCAGTGGCCGAGAAGCCTGTCAGAAGCCTGACAGGTCAGAGTGAGTTTGCCGGACCTTGGTCTGGAGCAGACAGCGGGCCTGTCCTTCCACTCCTGTCCCAGGCTCGGAGTGACACTGCTGCTGCTGGCTGAGGCTCATGGTTTTGTCCCCGTAGGGCTGCGGAATGGCAGCTGGATCAGCCATCGTGGAGCGGCCGGCTGCGTATCACTGCAAAAGGACAGGTGGCCTACATCAAGCTGGAGGACAGGACGTCAGGTGAGGCCAGACAGGCCTGGTGGGGCCCGCTGTGTGCAGGCAAGGCCTGGCCAGGCCTCTCGCGGCAACCTGTCCCAGAAGTCAGCGAGCAATTGAACTCCGCCTCCATCAGCCCACAGCAGAGCAAAAGGAGCGTCCCTTCCTTTGTGGGTCCTTAAGAAGATACGAATGGTGGAGGCCACGGAGAGGAGACCTGCAGGCTGGGCCCAAGGAGGGGCCCAGAGCTTGTCTTGAAGATAAGCTGGGTACAGACTCGCGGCCTTTGTGCTGGGCTCCGGTTCTTACCCAGGAATTGTTTATCGACTAAGTGGTGACTCCCCAGAGCTGACCACGCCCGTCACTGAGCGCGCGCGAAGCGGGCCTACTCAGCAGCTTCTGTGGGGAAGCTCAGCCAAGCAGGCCTTGTGATCAGCTGGCAGGGAAGTCTGGATGCTGTGCTAGCAGTGCTTCTGGGTGAACTGGGGGGCAGCAGGAGCCGCCCAGTCCCAGCCCCCGAGCAGGGGTGCGGCCCTGCTTTGTCAGGTGCTGCGGCAGCTGGTCGCTTATTTTTTCTAGTGTGTAGAGATTTGCCTCTGTGGGGCAAAACGAGCATGAGGATTTGTAGGCCGCATTGGCGGCCCCTGCTCAGAACTCTGGCACGGGAGTCTGAGCTCTGGCGTCACGGGCAGGCCACACGCCCTCTCCTGCCTTGGCCTCCTTCTTCATGAAACGGGGACACTGTAGCTCCTGCTGGTCAGGTTGTTTGGAGTGAGCCGATGTTGATCACTTGCCTCGCCAGCTGCAGGGTCTCCCAGAGCTGTGCTTGTGCTGGAGCCTGTGGTTGCGGGGTGAGTATGGAGGGAGGAGCTGGAGACGGCAGCCGGGGCTAGGTCAGAGAACACTGGCCGTGAGACTTGCTGGGGCGTCCCAGGGGTGGGGGGGTTTGCAACTGGTTGAGGTGTCCATCCTGTGTAACAGCCACTCTCAAGGCTGATCCTCATCACCCCAGTTCTCCTGGCCCAGGCAGGTCCACTGGGTTGTGCTGGTTTCTTACTTTCCGGTCACTAGATCAGGGTTTCCTGGCCTCAGTGCCGGTGGCATTTGCGTCCAGGTGAAAATTGTGGGTGTTTGAGTCAAGTTTGGGGTAGTTAGCGACTAGTGCAGTAGCAACCCCCAAGTTGTGACAACCAGAAGTGTCTCCAGACATCACCAGATGCTCCTGGGGGGAGGGGAAACAATTAGAACCACCTGTGAGAGGCCCTGTTCTAGAACCTCTGTTCTAGGCTAAAGGCGTCTGGGTGCGTCCTGCATCACCAGGGGCCAAGCCGAGGGGCCAGAGGCGGGAGTGAGCAGCTGTGCAGTGCGGCCGCTGCCCCGCCGCTCAGCCTTGATGGCGCATCCGCCCCGGCCTGTGCGTCAGTAGGTTTGGGTTGATGCCTCGAGCACCAGTGGAGCGCAGCACATGTGGAAATGATGCCAGTCACAGGTGCCCATAGAGGGTGTGTGGCACCTCACCACAGAGAGGCCTGGGTGACCGGGGGTGCGTTTCCTGGACTCATTTTACAGCCGTCACCCCTTGGCCCTGACTTGGAGGTTAAATTAAGTCCGTCTGCTTCAGATTCCACGGTGGGCGCGAACGCACCCTGATCTTTCCCCAGGGTCACTGGCTCCCCCACACTGCGCCTCGGGTGCAGGTATGGAGGTGCAGTCACCTGGCCCGGGGCCAGCCTGCCTAGGCCTCAGGGTGCAGGCGGTGGGTGGGCCCATCCTCGGGAACGGAGGCCCTGGCATTGCTACGAGTTTTCAATTTTAAGAGAAGTTGGATTATTCCCGCGTAGTCTGATTGTGAAATGCTCGGCAGTGCATCGAGAGGGCCTGAGCTGCAGGCCGGCCCCAACTCTCCGTCCCTTGCTTCTCTCCTGTGTCTTCCCTTTGGCCAGAGTGGATCTGACTTGAACCCCAGAGCGAGGCCGCCAGCCTGCCTCCCAGAGGGGCCCAGCAGGTGAGGGAAGCGCCAGGCTGGACAGGGCCCAGGCTCACGCACCTTGTGCTTTCAGGGGAGCTCTTTGCCCAAGCCCCTGTGGATCAGTTTCCGGGCACAGCCGTGGAGAGCGTGACAGACTCCAGCAGGTACTTCGTTGTCCGCATCGAGGACGGCAATGGTACGCAGCGGTCTGTCGGGCGCTGTCTCCCCTGGGGAAAGGTCTCCCCCACCTCGGGGGGGTGGGGCTGATGCTGAGTTGTCCCCAGGGCGACGGGCGTTTATTGGCATTGGCTTCGGCGACCGAGGAGATGCCTTTGACTTCAACGTAGCTTTGCAGGACCATTTCAAGTGAGTGTTCAGGAGCCACGTGCTCATGTCTCCTGCTGTCTCCCTTCTTCCCCTGGCAGGGCTTCTGGCGGCTGTGTGGTGTGTCTGCTAATGGAACCCCAAGAACACTCGGTCATCCTTTGGGGCAAGCAGCTCGTGGCTGTTTTCCCTGCCACCCAGAGCTGCCCTGGTGGTCCTTTCCTAAAGCCAGGTGGGCAGGCCGTTCCCTGCCTCTGCCTCCACTAGGCAGTGCCACTGCCCCTACGGGCGCCCGACACCACCTGACCCTGCCACAGGTTGCCGGGGGCCTGCTGGATGGGTGCCGGGGGGTGGGGCTGCTGGGTGGGTGTCCGGGATGGGCCGGGGCCTTTGTGTCCCAGCATCTCTCGTCTTGCCACCTGCCCCGTGGCCCTTCGGGTGTGTGTGGAGACTTTGTCTTGGTCCTATGCCAGCTGCCAGGGCAGATAGCGGCAGGTCCTCAGATTCCTGCAGACCACTGTAGGTCCCTTACGTCAGTGAGCTCATGGAGTCATCATCGTGTGCTCTACTGTCTAGATGGTCGTTCCACCTTGCTGATAGGAAAAGTGCGCGGGCAGGATTGGAACTCAGGTCTCCCCCCAAGCCCACCTTTCTGTTACCAGCCCACCTGAATGAGCCCCGACCTGGTGATGGTAGGTAGGAGTGAAGTGAGCAGGCGGGTGGAGGGCAGCTGGCCCACTTTCTCTTCTGCTCTCCCAGGTGGGTGAAGCAGCAGTGTGAATTTGAAAAACAAGCCCAGAACCCCGACCAAGGCCCCAAATTGGACCTAGGCTTCAAGGAGGGCCAGACCATCAAGCTCAACATCGCGGTGAGTGCCCCTTTCCTGGGCTCTGTTGGACAGTCGGTCACACCGGGGCCACCACACCAGGCCAGCCCCAAGCCGGCCGGTCAGTTCTCATACGCCAGTTCCGTCAGCCCGGCAGTGTTTGTTCGCCAAGCAGCCGCCGCGGGCCAGCTGGTTTGCGGGGCAGGACTGAGGCTCTGCCCCCGGGGAGTTCAGCGATCGCAGGGTGGCAGGAGGGTTCTGTGAGCTGCTGAGACCTGGGAAATCTGAAAAACCTAGGGAGGGGGTCGAAGGGTGGCTGGAGCCAGGGAGCGCTGCGTGCCAAGCCCTCTGCCATGAGAGGCAGCTTGGCCCGGCCCGGTCTCCGTCCTGTCCGTGGGGCCAGCCTGCTCCTCCACGCTGTTCTGGCGTGCACCCGGGTCAGGAGGATTCGGGACAGCTCTGGGCAGGACGGCGGGAGCGGGAGCAGCTTCCGCTGATGCCATGTTCTGCCTCCCCTTCGTCCTAACGCCCTCCCCTGCCCAGCCAGTCCTGCTGAGGAGGGAGGACCCGACGGCGCCAGGACTTGGCCTTTCGCCTGCCTACAGGGGTGGGCTGGGGCGACTGGTGTTTGAGGAGACTTTGTGACCCTGAAACAATGCTCTTGCTGTTACTTACTATCTCTTTCTCCTCTTTCTGCTTTGTGCTGGTGGTGATTCGGGACAACTAGCCTTGACGTTGGCCAGCTGGCCTAAGAGAGACGCAGGTCACGTCCAGGGGACTGGCTGGGATGTGATCCTTTCCCTTGCTTGGAAGAAACTAACATTTAAGACCACCTGCTGTGTGCCAGGTAGTGTTTGTAGACATTTCCCATATGAATTAAACGTCCTCCTCTTACAGATGGGAGGAAACCATGGCTCAGAGAGGTTAGGGAACTTGCCCAGGGTCACAGAGCTGCAAATTGTTGTCCAGCTGGACTCAACATGAGGTCCTGGTGGATTTTAGCTTCAGGGTGTGGCCTTGGCCTGTGAGGAAGCTGCTGCTCTCCTCACAAGCGGGGAGCTGTGTTGTCTTCATTTTTGTAACTGCTGGTTCCTGGCTCAGCTTCTTGCTCTCTTTCCTGGTTAACATTTTGTTGTAGCATAATATGCATGCCGAGTATTACAGATTAAAAATACAGAACTCGTGGATTAAAAAAAAAATCACATTTACCCATAAAAGGCCCAGGTAACTCAGGAAGCAGGTCCCAACACGCTGGTGCCCGCCACTGCTAGTGACCGCCCACCTCAAGTCGCGCCGCGCTTTGTGGCCATGGGGGCTCTCCCACGTGTGACCTCTTTTCTCTTGCTGACGTAGGACTCTGGAGAGTCCTCCGCGTGTCATTGTGCTTCTTTGCTTGGCGGCACGGTGGTGAGGACGTCCCTGCTAACCTGCTGGCGGGCACAGCCCCCCGTGAGTGGCTGGGTGCTGGTCTTCTGAACGTCAGTGGGTCTGTATCTGGGAGTGGACTCAAGGGTCATTGTTCATCTGTTCAGCATTACTGCTCTTTCAAACCAGTTTCCAAAGCACACCCCAATCTAGCTGCCCCGCCCGTGGGTGGCCGGTGGTTTGGCGGGCATGCGGTAATGGCGGGCCGTCGGGATTCACAGCGCCCAGATGATGCGTGAAGTGGGTGCTGGGTTTCAAAATTCATTGTGTATGTGATTGCTTCACAGTGGTCACAGTTGAGTACAGCTCACAGTGACAGGAGCGCTCACAGCTCTGGGCCGGCTCTTGGTGACACAGCAGTGACAGCCCTGGCTTCGCCTCGCGCTGGCACTGGAGCTGACCGGTTTGCGTTCCTCTCCTCCCTCTAGAACATAAAGAAGAAGGAAGGAGCGCCTGGGACTCCCCGAGCCCGTCCAGCCAGCACAGGGGGACTGAGCCTGCTTCCCCCTCCCCCTGGGGGGAAGACCTCCACCCTGATCCCTCCCCCCGGGGAGCAGTCCTTTGAGGGGGCAGCCTCTGTCCAGCCAGCAGGTGCTCCCAGCTCAGGTCAGTACTCGCTCAGTCTGGGCCTGCGGCTTGACCTTCCCCACGGCAGCTGGGGCCTCGGTCCTCCCGCTGCCCTCGCTGACCCATCTGGACGTGGCAGGCTGGGATGGGCAGCACACAGCTGGCCCTGCCCAGGCCAGTCGTTTCCTGTGCTGACTCTGCTGCCGAGCCCTCGCGGTCTGTGTTCCTGGATAGGCCGGGGCCAGGACTGTCCGCTGCTGGGGAATCAGCACGCGGCGCCGGGTTCTTGGAGGCTGTTCAGGGCGGGGCGGGGGGCGGGGCTGTGCCCACAGGGCGCTTACCCCTGCTAGGGCGGAGGAGTGGCACAGGCCCTCGTGTGGGGGCCGGCCACTGCGCTGCGCTGGGGAGACGTCACGGGAAAGGTGGCCCAGAGCTGGGCTTTACGGAGACTGCGACAGGAGATGCTTGGCCTTGCTGGCAGGGAGAAGCGCACGCAGTAGCCTCAGCTTTTCTTCATTTCCGTTAATCAGATTTTACTGACTTGTTGACATAACTGTAGCTTTGGAAGTGCGGGCTCCCCCTCCGCTCGAGCACATTCCTCCGCCGAGGCTCCAGCACCAGCCCCCGTCACCTCACCCCTTCTCCCCTTCTCTGTTTTACAGAGCCGGAGAGTTATTTGCACCAGTTTGTTAGATTTGGGTTATTTATATCCCACAAGTGAATGAAAACATCCAGTCATTTCCTTTCGTGTTCCAACTCACTTCAGTGAAGGGATGCAGCAGGAACTATTTCGGGGTGGATGGCAGAAAACAGAGCTGCAGATTTAGTTTAAGCAGATGCCCCACTGGGACTGTCAACTTGCAGGGACGCCCCCAGGCCGCTCCCCCAGCTGGTGTGTGTGGTGGACTTTGAAGACTTTGGCATTCTGAAGATGGTGCCTCATACCAGCCTCTGACGCCACCCTGTTCTCTTGGCCTCCCTCCCTGGCGTCCAGCCGGGGGCCCTGGCCTTCCCTGGGTGGGGAAGGGGTAGCCACCACCTGCTTTCCCCACGTGGCTCTCACAGCTTCTTGGGCACAGCATCCTGTCAGGAAGCCTGCTGTCTCCCTCCTGAGATGTCCTGGACACTGACCTCACTACTTGGAGATTGGGCTTCAGACCTCGACCCTGCCCGGGACAATGGCAGGAGGGCCAGTCAGCCGGCCTGCTCCCGCACCAGGCGTCATTCTTTGGGCTTGGTTTTCCAGAATGGGATCATCGGACCACCTGCCTGGGCATTGCTTGGGTGCGGGGCAGAAACCTGTGCTCTTAGCATTATCTGTCCCCACCGAGGCCTGAGCCTCTGCCTTGGGCCTTCTCTGAGCTGCTGGCACAGTTTCAGCAGCACCGTGGAGCACTTCCTGTGCCAGGTAGTGGAGCAGGCACCAGAGAGACTGCAGGCCTGGCACAAGTCCTCCCAGCGGCTTCGTCCCACCGTGCAGGATGCAGTTAGTGTGTCCACCAGCAAGGTGGTGTCCAGGGATCAGAGTCAGGACGAGCTGACATTTACTGAGCACTTCCTGCTTGTCGCACACCGGCCTGGCCGAGTACAGTCTGACTTAGCAGTGTGCGCCGTTCAGAAAAGGGCCTGCCTGTCTGTGCTGCAGTGCCATGGGCAGTGCCATACCTACAGCCTGGGTGTCTGGTGAGTGACGGGCTGGTCTGGGCATCCCCTAGAAGCGAGCCTGGGACATTGTGTAGGCTCCCTGCACGGGAGCTTGCTTTATGAACAGGCTCACATCTCTGCTCTGAACCTGTCCTAAGTAGTCTGCATTGGTTAACTCCTTTCATCCTCAGACCAGTCCTCTGAAGCAATTGCTGTGATTGTCCCTACTTTAGAGAGCAGGAAACAGACCTGCATGAAGCCACCCAGCTAGTCCCAGCCTGTCATCCCACAGGGATGTCCAGAGACCATGTATGGGGTGCGCTAGCGAAACGGAAAGATTTTAACCTCAATGCACCAGTTTTATCTGTCTCCCAGGCCAGAGCAAGTTGGTAGGAAGGCAGTGGACGCAGGCACAGGCCTCCAGAAGGGACAGTGGGAGTGCGAGGGGAGGTGCCAGAGAAACACAGGTATGAAGCCACTGGGCCCACCACCTTGGTGAAGAGATGTGCACAGACACCAGCTTCTGGAAGCTTCCCAGTTTGGCTCCCAGGAAAAGGCACCTTTCTAGCACATAACTTTCTTAGCTGTTGACCAGATGCTGGACTCAGGGCATTTTATGACGATAGCCTTGCTGTTTGGGTGGGTGTTCTCTATTCCAGAACCAGGGCGGGCGGTAATAAGATGGAAACAGATTTGTAACACAAGTGATTGAAAACAAGCGTGGTCTCCAGTGTGAGCGATAGAGACGTGGGGCCCCCTCTGCAGTCCCCTCCCCTCCACCACGCGAGGGACACTGCCTTGATTTCACACGGCCCCAGGGCCTGTGAGAGGCGGGAAATGCAGCAGCTCGTTGGGGCTTGGTCGCCAGAGCGTGTCCGCGTGTGTCCGCGTGCGTGCGTGTGTCCGCCTGTCCGTCCATCCTTCCGTGCGTGCCCGTCCTCCTCCTCCATCACCTGGGATCCTGGGAGTCCACGGAGACAGCCAAAAAGTGGCTCTGACTGCTGTGTCCACCTCTTCTCTCCCTGCCGTTGGACTTGCCGAGAGCAGCAGGAGGCGCCACCGTGTCCTGGCCGCAGCCCAAGCCTGCCACCGCTGCCGCCGCTGACATCTGGGGAGATTTCACCAAACCCGTGGGGTGAGGAGGGCCACATTCCCGGGTGGTGCTGGGGCCAGCATGAGTCTAAGAACTGGGGGTGCTCTGCATGCCTTCCTGCTATCTGGCCATTTTCAGGCCAGCCAGAGGACAGCCCATCTGTTTCCTTGGGGTGCCCCTCCCTGTCTGATGGGTCTCTGCCACTCTCTGCTGCTGGGGGCCACATACACAAGTCTGGCTGGCCTTTAAACCACCTTGACTTGCTCCTAGAACCTTCCCCAAAGCCCCCTGTACTGGGTTCAGACTTAACCTGGGTTCCGATGGTGGCCTCTCCTCATGGGATCTCTGGGGAAGGCCCTTCCCTTCTCCAGCTCCGTAAGATTTCAAGCTGACCCCAAGCTGAAAAGACTCTCGTGTGGCCTGTGCCCCGTTGTGTATGTGCACAGGCTGTCGGGCAGGAGTCGGCACTCGTTTTCTGTGAAGGACCAGACATTGCAGGCCTGTGATCTCTGTTCCAACTACTCAGTTCTGCTTTTGAAGCAGCCACTGCCTCCCCGCTGGTGCAGGGGTTAAGGCAGCCCTGTCAGGCTGCTGGCAGCCATTGCAGCATGAGTTCCATCCCCTGCCACGTTGTTGACCCACAGGGCGTGGCAGACCTCTCCTGACCCGCCCGCTGCTCCACTCAGCAGAGTATTTTAGTCGATCTGCCTGTTCTTCCCACTCTATCTCTGGCGAATCCTCTCACCTCCCATGCCTCTGTCCTACCTCCCAGTTGTTACCATAAATATTTACGGGAAAAAAAAAAGCAGCCACAGATGACACGTAAGTCAGTGGGCAATCAGACTTTCACAGAAGCAGGCAAAGGTCTAGATTTGTTCCCTGGGCTGACCCCTGTTCTAGAATGTTCAGGGAGTGACTTCATAGGGATCTTTCTGCCCAGAGAGATGCCACTTCTTATCTTCTCTGTATTTCCAAACACCTGAGCTCTCTCACCCCCTTACCGCCCCTTTACAGGTCCACTCCTAACCAGACTCAGCCCGGCACAGGCTGGGTCCAGTTCTGACCTAGCTCCAGGCCCCTTTTCCTACACAACTGCTGGACAGGAGCCGCCTCATCTGGGCCCAAGGAAGGAAGGTGCAATCCTGCCTGGCTAGCCTGTTTGGGGCACAACTCTCTCCTCACTGGACTCCTGACGCCTGGGCAAGACAGGCAGCAAGTCTGCACCATGTTACATTGTGTCCTGGGGTTCGAAGGTGCCTTCAGAACATAGAAGAAGATCCCCAGCCCTGTCTGCTCTCTGACATCAGAGAGACTGAGACTGCTCGTGCCATCGCCATGACCCGTATTAAACACAAGCCCCCGCTCCTGGAGTGTGCCGCCTGGATTCAGATGGGCCTTCTCCCGGGTGACAGGTGTCATGGGGTCACTGTCTGGAAGGGGGGCTTTGTACACTCCCATCGGCAGGAGCCATTTCAGAGGTGCCTTCAAAGGAGGGATTCCTTCCTGACTGCTATCAGGTTTATAGGCTGCAGCTTGAACAGGCAAGCAGGAGGGAAGTTGGGACCGTTAGCCAGCTTCTAGAAAAATGTTAATACTTGCTTTGCTAATGAGCTGACCCGCACTAACGCCTCTCTGCAAGGGGGCTGTCCTGCAGAAAGCCCCGTGGGCGCCTCCACCAGCCAGCGAGCCTCGCCTCAGTCCCAGCAGCTGCTGAGCTTCAGGAAGTGGAGTTCATCTCATCCAGTGGCCAGGCCTTGGCCTCTGCCAGGCCGGGCAGGCGCCGGGCTGAGGCAGGAAGCCAGGTGGAGGTGTGGGAGGGGCGTGGACCTGCCCTCCCATCCACCGGCAGCTCCCTGGTCCCAGGCTCACAACGCAGTGCCTGGGGGCCTGATTTTCTCCACGTGGCTCCTGAAGTGCCTTGCCTGCAGACAGCCTCTGGCTTTGCTTTCTCCTTTGAGACTGCGTGACAGACAGGAGGAGCACAGCCCAGGGTTGCCCGCATCACTGGTTTACCAGAAATGTTATATAAGTACACCTCTGATGTTGCTTTCACTGACTGACTTTACCTCTTCCTGAGAAATTTCTTTTTTGAAGGGTCAAAATAATGGACAGAAAAGTGTTGGCCTTTTTTTGTGGGACCAGATTTTTAAGATAAAAATAAATATTTTTACTTCTGTCAACGCCTGCTGGAGAGGAGCATGTTTTTGACACATGACTGCTTAGCCCTCTCGGAGCCACAGCTAGGTTGGAGGCCGCCAGGCACCACTGTCACGACACACGCCGGAGGTGCTGGCGTGCACAGGAGGGGCGCGAGAGCTGCTGGCTGCTTCGAATAGGAGTGACAGGCAGATACAGAGTGGGCGGGAGTCGGGAAACCATGTGGTGATTTAATGTTTCCTTCCTGGTTAGAGAAAACAGAGTATTAACGATCTGTAAGAGTGTCAGAACACCAGACTGGGGAGAGTCTGCCTGTCGCATTGTCGCTGTGTAACAGCCGCCCCAAACCACAGCAGCTCAAAGCAGCACACATTGTCTCAGGTTCTGTGGGTCCGGAATCCAGCTACAGCTTAGCTGGGTCTGTCTCAGTGTGTCTCAGGCCTCAGGGTATCAGTGGGGCCACAGTCTCGGCCAGGTCCACTCCGTGATCTTGCTGGCTGTTGGACAGGAGGCACTCACTGCCCTCCACAGTCCACAGCTTGGCAGGGCGCTGGGAGGGTGAGTGTGGGCGAGATGGCAGCGGCGGGCTTCCCCTGGGACAGCCCCCCACCTCCCTGGGCAACTGCAAGTCTACTCGGCCGGGGGTGCACGGAACACGCACAGTCGCCTCTTCGTAGCCCTCTTGGAAGGCTGCGTCTCGTTGCCTAGGGCCACCTTAACGACTTAACATAAGTCAGGGAGCTTAAAACCCCGAACTTTCTCCTAGTTCTAGAGGCCAGAGCCTGAAGTGAAGATGTCAGCAGCGCCCGCTGCCCCCAGAGTCTGGCAGATCCTTGCCTCTCCAGCTCCTGTGACCTTGCAGCTTCCCCTGGCTTGACAGAGCGTAACGTCAGCTCCGCCCCTTCCTGCGCCCTTCTCCCTGTCCCTGGGGTGTGCTCCCTCCCAATGGGACCAGTGTCCTTGGGTTATTCTAAATCCAGGATGGTTTCATCTCAAAAGCAATTACCCCTGCGAGGGTCCTAGTTCCAAATAGTCACATTGATAGGTATTGGGGATTGGAACTTGAATGTACGTTTTTGGAGGCAAGTCAGCTCCCTCCAGTCTACCTACTGCCTTGTCTGATGGCGAGGGGAGTGCAGGCGCCTCTGTATGTGCAGTTGTAACTCCTTGGGGCGACCGCGGAGAAGCCCCTTACTGTGTGGTGAGGCATGCCACAGCGCCTCGGGCAGCAGCCACAGCCACGGTGTTCTCCCAGCTTGTGTGGCTCTCACACATTCTTTCATAAAGCATGGGGGAAGGGGCTGGGTATTTTATGGGCATAAAATATCCCTACAGAGATACATAGGACACAGCTCCCAGTGGCTGCAGGACGAGATTGAGTTATTAGGAGACAGGATGGGGAGCTACGTTGACCTTAAACTGGACTGAGTCAAGTGAGCGGACCATCTCTTCATAGAAAACTGCACTTAAAAGGTTGTACTAACACCAGAGATTCAGAGGAGGATGGTAAACAGTGTCATTGTTTTCCCCATTAAAAATAAGGAATCTCTCTCTTTTTTTTAATAAGGTTTATTCAGTCCTGCTCTGAAACCTTTAATATCTTGTAGCCATCTCTTCGGTCATTTGGAATGACTTCACAGCATTCCACTGACTTCAAGGCCCTGACTGCTGGGCATTTAAGACTTCCTTAATTTTTGCAGTTACAGTCAGGCATTATAGACAGTGCAAGTTAGCCTGCAGCTACCCAGTGAATCCTGTTAACCGGAACGGCCATCCTCTAGCCTTCTGGTTAATGTGGTTTTGCTGGTGGTGGGCAGAGTCCAACCTTGCCCTGTGCTCAGATTTGGCAGACACTGGTCCTAGCAACCTGGGTGGCAACTCCAGTCACTGGTTTCCCAGTTACCTGAGTCGCTTATGTAGAGCCCTCCTCAGTGAGCAGGTGAGTACCTGGCACAGCACCCTTCTGCTGGCTGATCCTGGGGTTCCTGGGCTGGGCACAACCCAGTTACAGGGTAGAGTGACTGGTGTGGGCAGCTCGGGATTCAAGTAACAAGGCCAGGCTGAGCTGAGCTGAGCAGAGCCACTGAGTCAGGTAAGGACTCAGCTTCCTTCACGGAGGAGGTTGAGACCTGCAAGGTGGGCTCTGGTGGCCAGGGGTCCTGGAGAGGCGGTTGTATCGCCCCAGTTCACAAGAACAGGCGTAGTGTAGAGAAAAGGGCATGGGATTAACAGCCACTGTACTTCTGCTGTGTGTCCTGGGGCAAATGACTGACCTCTCTGAGCCTCAGTTTCATTTGCATCAGTCTACAATGGAGATAATCCCAGAGGCTGCTGCACAGCCTAGACCCTGCTTCCCAGAAGTGTCCAGAGGGGACCGACAGAATGAGGAAACGAGAAAGCAGCCGGCACAGTGTGGGTTACAGCCAGTGTGGGCGGCCTGTGAGAGAAAGAGCTGGTCAAGAGAATCTGAGCAGGGAGGATCAGAGATGGGGGCCTGAACCCAGCCCCAGGTGCCCTGAGAAGCTGTGGAATGGGGGCTCCATAGGCACAGGCAGGATCAGAAATGGGGGGTGGGGTGGGCCATGAGCCTGCCAGCACCAGAGGCAGTGACAGGGTGACACCTCCAGGCCAGGTGTGCTGGGCATCACGGGGCAGCTGTGCTTACTGGCAGAGGGTGGGCACCCCTCCCTCTGCTGTGCCAGGGTCACCTCAGTGAAACTGTTTCCTCCTCCCAGCTTTGCACCTCTCCCACCCCAGCCCAGGGATTGACTGAAATCTCCCTGCATCAGCCCTGCCCAGGTACCAGCCCTGCCTGTGGGCCCCCTGGTGTCCGCCTGAAGGGGCACGCTGGCTGTCAGCTTGGAGGACATTCTTGATGTTAAAACCAGGCTCCCCTTTGACAATGAAAACTCCTACTATTCATTCCTTCCTACATGGAGGGGAACACAGAACGGTTTTCCAAATATAAAATTATAAAAGGAAACATGCTTTTTCAAACAAAGCGCACCCCTGGATTCAGACCTGCCTAAATCTGATGCCTTCAAGACAGGTAGCTCCAGAGCCCTGAATGGATCCCAAGGTATTCTTACACTACAGGGACCTTCCCATTTGGGGAAGGTGTATGAGCCAGAGAAGGAACTGGAAGAGGTGGGCTGTCACGTCTAACACACCCGGCGCCTTATGTAAGGACAGTCAGGAAAGGAAGACACTCCCCACGAAGCCCCCGTTTCGCTACCCAGTCTGCAGGGCCATGGGGTCACTTCTGTGAGACGAGAGCTCAGTAATGAAGGCCCTTAAAGGCCGGGCCGGTGAGGACCAGTCGAGACCTCAGGGGGACCCTGTATCTGGGTTAGGGCTGCCACTGAGCAGCTGGAGGCTTTGAGGGGCCTGAGCAATCTTCAGTTTCCCGTTTATGCAAAAGGAACGACTAATCCTCCTCTGCTGGGCTGTCCGGGGCAGTCAAAGCGATCGCGTGTCCAGCAGTGGATCCCCGGCACAAACTCCGCAGGCACGTTCCACAGCCGGCGGCTGCAACCC